TGCATACGGTAAGACGGGAACTGCAGCGATTTCCTCTATTTCATACATAGTTGACTGGCAATTTCCTTTTCTTCCTTTGAGATAATTTTTGCGTGATCTGCCTATTGCTGTGCTAAGTTGAATACACCTGTCAATAATGTAGACAATGGGCTAGCATCATATGAGTTAGCGAAACTGCAAGTGTTTCTTCACATCTCTTTTTTCAAAACTTCTTATCCCGTTTTCCGAAAGGGGTTCAAATTCATATAAGAAAACGCCATAATTCTTTATACATGACAATTCGATCCCCTTTTAATACGAGGTTATGGCTTTAAGCTATATTACCCACAATAACAGCTAGACACCGAAAGCAGAAAACATGAGCGCTACATTAGAGTCATCAAAAAGAGGGCAAAAAATGAATAACAACTGGTGGCCGATGATGTCAACGCTATAATACAATTTTCTTCAATCAAAATGACGCTGTTAAATGTGAAATTGTTAAATTGATGAATCATTAAATGTTAAATTTTATGTATGTTAAACTCAAAACTTTATTACAATCTACATCCACAGCTGATGAAAGCCCATGAAAGACCCGAAAAAGGTTTGAGTGCATGAGTTTCATTTTCCCTTATTTACACTGATTTGCGGAAATGAGCCTTTCCTTTTAATGATGAAAGTCCAAGATTTTCCTATAACACAAACTAGCATTTGACTAAGTAAGAAAACACAATCGCTCTGAGATGTCCTTGTCTCACTTTTTTATTTTCCAGATTAAAAGAGCCAACGAAAAATTGCTTCTCAACAGTTAGTGAATCTATATTTAGTGGCGAATTTACTGAATATTAATATTCTTAAGATGTTTTACTTAGTTGGTCCGAAGGAGATGAGCTAACTCTACACCTCATAAAGGCGTCACGCATATTATTCCACTTAGGAAAATTTGTAAGGAAAGATAAAATTTTGTGAATACGGGGTGTTCTCAGAAATTTCACCATAATGCAAGACCAAATGACTAAGTTCCATTTCTTATTGGGATTCCACATTTTTCATTTAGCTAAAAATTCACTATGATTAAAATAGTTCTCTTTTTAAGATGCTTAAAAATGACATCGGTGGATGGACAAAATAGCTGCCCTGAGAAAACGTACGATAGGAGCATCTTGCTTTGAATCGAGTAGTCCGGAGAAAATGGGCTCGTTTAGCAAATTCTGCATAAGCAAGAAAATGCGAATATGAAGAAAAATTCTTGTGTACTATAAGCGAATCCATATTGCAAGTTTCAATTCGATTGATGTTGCTCCCTCAATTCTTTTCTTCTCATCAAGTTGATAGCTTAACTCTGATTCAAAACATCAAGCTTTTACACATCAAATAGAATCGTGTTTATTCGGGGTTGCTCTAACTCTCTGGGAACTTTGAAAAGGCATTCAATAACATGTGACGTAGTAGCTTCTCACTTCTTGGAAACACCTAAAACAAAAACTGAAAAATTTTGCGCGTCTTTCTCAGCACATTGTTCTCTCGCATCTCTCAGCACTTAGAAATAATTTATAAGCGCGAAAAGCTTCTCTATATTAGTAGGCGTGGCAAAACAGTGTGAGCAATCGCATGAGCTCCAAAGCATGTGTGCCTCCTCGAAGCTGCTCTTCAGGAACGCCTCACTCACATCCGCAAGCGAATTTCTCCAGTAACACCGAGCAGCAAGCTATTTTTGTCCGCGCTTCCTTAGTTTATTTCTATTCATTCTTTACCCTTTATATACTCCTCGACTTCTTCGTGAACTCGTGTATCGGTAGTGACCTTAGTCATGTTTTCCGAAAACTACCAATTACAGGATTAAATCTAATATGGATCCGCTTAATATGACTGCTGAGCTGCTAGATGTGGATCCAACTGCTAATGGATTTCCACCTGAGCCAATTTTCTCCGATTATTTGGAGATGACGTCCCTAGTTTTGATGTTCATCATTGGAGCTCCCCTTAATCTGGCTGCGTACACGCAGGTAGGTATAGTTTTGCTTATAGTCACTAGGTTACAGATAAAGAGAGACATGGCTTAAAATTCTTGGTTCTGGTAAAACACAAGCAAAAAACAGAATCACTTTCATTGAAAATATTTAACTTCCTCCATGTCCTATGAGACTGCATGAAAGTACGAGACATTTCTGAACTCCAAAAACTTTGGATAATCTACATGCTTCCGAGTAAAAAATATTCCAAGAGAATCGATCCATAGGTAGCTACCTAAAAACTAAAAGGCAAGCTTACCTTTTACTAAAATGTTCTTGTGACCATTTATTCGTTTGACCTCCCTTAAT